TGTCTAACTAATATCCATTGAAACACAATGCATAATATGGCACGCAGGCCAAAAGGGAAACTACTCTACTTCTACGCTCCAGTTCTAGCGCGCTCCAGTGCTCTAGTCCTCTGTGCCTGAAAGCCAAATATATCTGTTCAGCGAGAGATGCTGGTAACCCACTCCAACGCGTTGAAATACAATACATATAGAGATATATATAGATATACGAAAACCATTTTGAGCATGAAGATATATCCTACGAACACTAGCTTTAAAACCGGGAATGACTCGACAGATAAGGCCAGACACAAGCACAGTTATAATGAGCATATGCAGTTTACAACAGATAAGGCAGATAAGGCAAAGCATAAACAATGATCATAACCCAACATGAACAATCCCCAATATAAATCCCATAGTCACATCCCCCAAGACGCTCGTAATCACAACTCGTCCAGGTCACAAAACATAACACACTTTGTTGGCGCCACAGGACCAATCGCATGCCCATACATGAGGGTCAGCGCATATAGCTCTGACACGGCCCCGCAGCACCCTGCCCCGTATCGCAACACGGAGGGGTCGATCGCAACCGACCGATGAACCGCAGCTCATCATAGTGTTTGATCGCAACCAAACAGTGGACCGCAGCCCAAGAGAATGTCATCTGACCGCAGCCAGGAAAAAGGACGAACCGCAGCTCGTATAGAAACGTTTGATCGCAACCAAACGGTGGACCGCAGCCCAAGAGTATCAATCTGACCGCAGCCAGCTTCTGAACCGCAGCTCAGGATAACCAATCCGATCGCAACCGAATTGGGGTAACACACACATAACACATAGCAAGCACATGCAACCCACATTACACATTAGGAAGGGGGAGAAAACGTATAACAAAACCTATGCGTGATCCATCACTTACTAAGAATAGTCCTAAGGGGTTCATACTTCTTCCACCTAGGTCAACGGAATACCAATTCAACTAGCATGCAATATAATAGACTCATAAACCTACGAACGGTACCCGAAACATCAAACTAGACATAGGCACGATAAACGGAGTTCGTTGGGACACCACGGGGAACGGGGAACAACAAACGGGGAAGCCGGGATCCCGGGTGGGATGAATTTCCAATGGGTATCCGGTGGGTGGGGGCCACCCGCCGGCTGCCCGCCGGATTCTACTGTTCCGGGCAGCGGGTCGCCGGCGGGCAGCTGCCCGCCCGCCGGCCACCCGCTGCCGGGCGGTGTTTTACGGCCATGGGTAGGTGGCGGGTCCCCTACCCCCCACTGACTCTTTTCATCACTTTACGCCCCGGGAACCGTTGTGGAACCCGAAACCATGCTTGGACACTTTACAACGCAATTAATGACAACACGTAGACAATTAACGAATCAAATACAAGAAACGAACGGCACATAACCTATCATGCTTTTCTAAATATAATCAACACCCAAACATGCGATTTCCCCACCCGATAATCCAAGAATAAGATCATACGATACAACCTAGGGTTCTAATCACTTTTATATCAACAAGAATACGGTTCGTCTTCTAATTGCAAGATTCGGTAAGAATAACACATAAACATCAAGAGCATCACACAATTATCAAGAACGACACATAATCATCAAGAACTCCATATAATTACCAAGAACACCATAATTATCAAGAATCTCCCAATATCAAGATTATCAAGATCCCTCATGGGATCATCACATCAAACATCAATAATAATCATCATATCTCGCCAATACACAATAATATGGGGGAAACCCTAAGGGGGAATCATAGCTATGAAAATAGGTTTTGTTGAGACATGGGTTACCTCTTAGCCTTAATTAATTCCTTGGCTATGAAGGATCTTTCTTTAAGCTTCCTTGCTTTCTTGGTTTCTCCTAAGGGGATTCTTGGAGCTCTTTTGGGGTGGTGGGGCGTTATTTTTGTGGGAAGTTCTAGGTGCCTCCTAAGTCCCCTATTTATATATATAGGAGTCCTAATTAGGAACTAATATTATAGGTTCGCTAATTCTATTCCTTTTGGAACTAAGGATTGGGTTTAGGGGTTGGATTTATATATGAGGGCCCATGGACTATGGTGGGCCTTTTTCCCTAATTAATCATTATGATTTATTCTTTCTCTTGGGCTATTGATTAATTAATTAAATGGTTTTAGGGGCCGTAACACGGGGTGTTACAAATAGCTCCAACACAATCTTAAAGTAAATTCAACACATAAATATAATTTCATATTCACATTTATAAGAATATCTGTGGCACTCATAAAAAACTAAACAATAACTAATCAAATAGAGTTATTTATTACTTATATTAAAGTAAGGGTAAAACCTTGTACTTTCTCTTATTCGTGTAGGCACTGTAGAACTAGGTTTGACCATCATCTCAGGTGTTATTGTGTTAAGAGCCTTTATTTTTGTTAAAATTCTTACTTGTAGCAAAGTGTGATCGACAAAATGTTTCACGAGTATCGCAATATCTAGAGTTCTGCCCAACCGTTAGTAAAAATATTGCAACCATTTCTTCAACAGTAATGTATCTTGTATCCTTTAAAAGTATTTTCTCTCTTATAATATGGCATAGCTTTAAAAACACATTTGGATACATTCTGTATACCTGCCGAAAGTTATCAGAATCTTCAGCCAATACATTTTGTATGTAATTGTATCCACGTGAAGTAATTGGTCGTTGAGCTAGTGGATGTTCAATTCGTTCACCATTATTACCGATAATAACCTCTTTCAGTATGTGTATAATCATAGAAATTGTTTCCGATAAACGTTGAATGATGTCATAAAACTCTACTTCTTCACATTCTTCATCTACTTGTTCTTCCTCCATATCAACCATCTCAATGTCGTCATTGCTATCAATACTAGAGCTCGACATTATGTCATAAAATTTATAGAAGATTTATGCTGCAAACAGCAGAAAGATGCTGTTGTTCGCAGTAGATTTAAGCAGATTTAAAATCTGCTGCGAACAGAAGTTTGTTGTTCACAGTAGCAAGAAAAGTAAAACAAAATTACATTAAAAAAACAATAAATTATAAAGTATAGTATTATGAAAAGTTTGAAACGTACCGTAAAATTTGGTAGAAATTGATGAAGAATTTGTCTGGTTTAGATAGAGAAAAAAGTCTGTAGAGAAAATTGAAAAGTTTGGGGTTGGAGAGTCGGATTTCATCTATTTATATTAATGAAGAAAAAGTCTACAGAAATCCTATTCTGATAGAGTCTATGAAAGTTGATAAATTTTGAATACCAGTAGACTTTTAAAGACTTCTGAAAAGTCTGAAACGAATACCAGTATACTTTTAAAGACTTCTGAAAGGTCTGAACTGAATACCGGTAGACTTTTAAAGAGTCTTTAAAAGTCTAAATTGAATACCCCCAAACTTTGAAAATCATTAAATGTCTTTAAAACTCTTTAAAAGTCTGGATTGAATACACCCCCCATAGTAATTACATTTTGAACTTTTTCAATAATTTATTTGTCATTAATTTCCGTTTTATTTTTTTTTATTATACTTCTGTCACTTAGGAATGTTTTAATGCTATGTTTTTTTTTATATATTTTTTTTATTGGCTAGGTAATGAAGCAATTGAAGCAATGATTATTGATTTGCCAAAGGAAGTGCATTTGAGTTCTAAAGTATTCTCTAAAATGAGCAGGTTAAGATTACTCAGGATCGAATCCATGAATGCCAAGGGATCATTAAAATACTTATCCAACGAGTTTAGGTTGCTTTTTTGGAATAATTGTCCATTGAGACACATACTGTCTGGTCTTTGCTTGAAGAAGCTTGTTATTTTAGAAATAACATACAACAATATTAAGGAATTTAAACCTAGTTTGCAGGTTTGAAGTTTATATGGGATTTTTTTTTTTGACATTACATCTTTTTAAAAAAGATTATAATTTATTTAGACAAAATGATTGGGAAATGCTTACTACAACTTTTTATATTTTGATTTAACAGCGTTTTGGATGCTTGGAGATCTTAAGGTTTGTTGGTTGCGAGCAACTTAAAGGATCACCAAACTTTACCGGAGCACACAATCTAAAGACATTGTCCTTTTTTCATTGATTAAAATTGGTTGAATTGTCGCAATCAATTAGAGATTTAAAAAGTCTTGTTAAGTTAGATATGAGATTTTGCACGAATCTTAGAGCGCTCTCCAATAGTATTTGCAACTTGAAGTCACTTAAGTGTCTTGATCTGGAAAGGTGCTACAAGATTAAAAAGTTGCCTACTAACTTGGGAAAATTATAGCAACTAGGTGTGCTTAATGCTAAATGGACTTTAGTGTCACATATGCCTTTTTCTTGTGGATCTTTGAGATATCTCTACTATCTGACACTAGGGCAGCCCAATAATATGAATGGGTATACGAGTGTGGGACCAATTTCTTCTTCAGATGCTAATTTATGTTCCTTGGAAACTCTAGAGGCTCATTACCAGTCTATGCAACATTTAGATCTTCAAATGGGGAGTCTATCATTCTTGAGATTTCTAGACCTAAGCAATAGTTACTTCACTACCATTCCCTTTAACCTTTCTCATCTTTCTCAGCTAGAAGTGTTAGTTTTGAACAACTGTCAAAACCTTCAACTAATTAAAGATCTTCCACCTAACCTAGGTCAGCTCGTTGCATGGCATTGTCCCTTGCTGGAGAATATACAAGATGTATCAGGGCTACATTGGTTGTCTCTTTCTATCTACAAAAGTTTGATTATTCAGCCTCGATGCAGTTTCAAAAAACTCACTCATTTAGATCTGTGTGATAGTTACTTGGATACCCTGCCCTTTAACCTTTCTCATCTTTCTCAACTACAAAGTCTCAGTTTAGATAACTGCCAGAATCTTCAAGTGATTCCAGATCTGCCTTACTCAAGTTTAAAGTATTTGCGGATTAATAACTGCAGTAATTTGATTGAAATTCAAGGCATGGAGAATTGTGTTAATTTACGTTCAATTGACATGTTACATATTGTAGCGCTCTAGCCAGTAATTCTTGTCATGCAAAATTGTTCAAGGTTAGTGATCTGATCTGATCTATCTCTGATCTAATGCTTCTCATGCATTTATTAATTAATTTCTTTCTTAATATATATATACGCACGCAGGCATTTTTACAAAACCCAAACCTTCACGGGTTTAATATGAGGGTTTCAAAAGACATGGTGCCAGAAGTAGTAGTTGGTTGTTCATCATCAAATTACACATTTGCCATTGTTTTCTTCCAAAAAACGGATACTTATACTTGTGACGGTTTCATGTTTGTTTTGGTGTGACTGTTATTTAAAATACAAAATCACAGAGAAGTTTGAGCGGGTGAGCCACACAGATCCCACAACAAGTCATACGGCGTTGGAGTTGAGAGTATATGATCATTTTATAGAAGCCAATAAAGTGGAAGAAGTAAAGGTGGTTGCAGAGTTTTATTCAGCGCTGGAGAAAGGAGCTGAAGAGAAATTGAGAATTGAAACATGTATAGTTTATGAAGAAGAGGGTGAGGTTTACTTCTTTCCTGTGAATCCAAATACGGTGATCAAATTCCACCCTGAAGATTCTACACACACCCAGAGACATTAAAATCCAAAGGTTAATATAATAGTCACAATTAGTTCTCCATCCTCTGATTCAAAAATGGAAACAGAGCAGCAGCGCAATAGGCGATATGAAGGAGAAGAAGAAGAAGAAGAAGAAGAAGGGAGTTCGAAGCCTTTATCTGGAGGAAAATGCTACGTGTACTCCCGTGTTGTACTTCAATTTATACTCCCACACACAAAACATTGATGTAAACATTGATATCCTGCCCTTTAACTTCAAGGCATGGAGATTTGTGCTAATTTACTTTCAATCCACAGGGTAGAATGTATCGCTCTAACGAGTAATTCTTGTCATGCGAAGTTGCTCAAGGTTAGTGATCTGATCTGATCTATCTCTAAAACCCCCTCGACTCGATCTAATGCTTCTCATGCATTTATTAATTAATCTCTTAATATAAGCACGCAAGCATTTTTACAAAGGAAAATGCTATATGTAATCCCATGGAGTATAAACTCCCGCCACGTATACCATTGAATGCAAGTGAATAAAGAAAAATAATGGCCTACTTTGTTATTTAAACCAATCAAATAATGACACTTCAGCAGGGAGTACAAAATGGAGTAGAAAGTGGGAGTACATGTAGTATTACTCTTTTACAAAACCCAAACCATCATGAGTTCACAATGAGGGTTTCAAAAGACATGGTGACAAGAGTAGCTAGTGACATGGCTTCTGTGTTTAATGTGCTGTAGATTCCATAATCAATGAATTATCCCCTCACATGTCGCTGATGATCTTGCAATAACTGAGAAGGAAGAAAAATTGGGAGAGTTGATGGAGATGAACCAAGGGTTGGTACAGTACATGGAGATAAGCCTACCCCAACTATTCCATTTTGATTCTTAGTTCTACTCAATTCAAGAACTTCCTGCTCTCTTGAGCGCAAGAGAGTTATTCTAGTGAGTCGGGTGCATAATCCAGCTACAATGCATGAGTTGTTCGAGAGTCTCTCCCTGAACTCCAATTGCATTATTTTGATGGCTAAGATTATTATGAGGGAGTCATGCAAAACCTATGTAGTACAGACATACTGTGAGGTAGTAACGAAGCCAATCTGTACTGTTGCTGGTGTTTACAAGTTGCCTTAGAGACTCATGCCCCGACCCTTCTTAGCTTTCATTCCCACTTCCCAGTATCATATTTTACGGTTAACGGTATTTTTCTCACATTCTTTTTTATCAAATACACACACTCCTATAATAGATGTCATTAAGTTCTGCTATATAATATCATTGAATTGGTAAAATAATAAATTTAGATATGCAATTTATGAACGTCATGACCACATAATTATCGATCATTAAACCCTAAAGTTTATTTGGAAAAATCCATGATGGATTTATAACTCTCGGATTGAGAAAAGAAATGAAAATCGCAATATGTATATTGTTGAATTACAAATTCTTTACTTGACTTCAAGTATTAAGCAATTGGCTGAGTAATTTCCTCCTGAAGTAGAAATATGTAAATATAAACCATCTCAGTCGATGTTGATGGGTTAAATGTTATTGAAATACATAGAGATCGAACTTGGTGATATTAGCTCATGCCTAGAGATCAAGTTTGAAATGAAAGACTTGGAAAACTCAAGCATTATCTCAACTTGAGGATCGAGCTTCTCCTTGAAGGAGTTTTATACACCAGTTAGCCTACTTGAAAAATATCATGAAGATTTTTGTAAGGATAAGTCTTAGTTACTTGTCACACGGATTGGAAAAGGTTTTCGTTAATTGATCATAACATTAGGATTACAGAGTATATCTAACTCTAACTAATCCTAACAAATAGATAAACTAAGTCAAGCTATCTAAGCCACACAATATAAAACATACAAAGGAAATAATAATAACTTATACTAACACACCCCCTCAAGCACAAGGTTGGAGGGCGACAACATTGAGCTTGTCACGCATGGCAGCAAACCTGGAGCAGGTAGCGGCTTCGTGAAGATATCTGCAAGCTGATCCGTCATAGAAACATAATTAACGAGGAAGTCACCCGAAGCGACCTTGTCACGGACAAAATGGTAGTCTATCTCCACATGTTTCGTACGTGCATGGAATACCGGATTGGCACATAGATACGTAGCCCCTAGATTGTCACACCAGAGCATTGCAGGCTTCCCAGAATGTAACCCAAGCTCGCGTAGTAACGAAACGACCCAAGTGACCTCAGCGGAGACATCAGCTAAGGCCTTGTACTCAGCCTCAGTGGAGGACCTAGCCACAGTGCGCTACTTCTTCGAGAGCCAAGAGATTAAATTATCACCTAAGTAGACGGCAAACCCACTCGTGCTTTTCCTATCCACAGGACAACCAGCCCAATCAGAGTCTGAATAAGCATGAATATCGGATGATGCAGACAGAGAAATCCGTAACCCATAACTCAGAGTACCCTTGACATACCGCATGACTCGCTTCACCATACCCCAATGCTCATCAGTGGGTGTGTGCATAAACTGACAAAGACGGTTGACTGCATAACTCAAATCCAGCCTCGTAATGGTTAAGTATTGCAAAGCCCCTACAATGCGCCGATACTGAGTCGGATTATAATAGAGTTGAGCAGAAGGCACAGTGGCCTTTGTGACGGCTGTTGGCGTAGTAAGAGGCTTGCAGTCAGCCATACCTAAACCGCCCAATAGATCAGTCATATAGCGTCGCTGTGACAAAAACATACCACTAGTAGAAGATACAGTCTCAATACCCAAGAAGAAACCCGGTGAGCCTAGATCCCGAATCTTGAAGGTAGAGGCAAGCCGACGTAGGATAGTGTCTACTAGTGTACTGTCGTTTCCCATCATAATTATATCATCAACATAGACGAGTAGATATACACGAGCGATGCCTGAAGTGTAATAGAATAAGGATACATCCGTCTTCGAAGCGGAGAGCCCGTTGCGCCTTGTTTTTCTTTTACCGACCTATCTTCTTTCTATAAGCAAGCTCCCTCCGGCCGTCCAGTCCCATGCTGAGTCACAGGCAGCGCCTTGGAAAGCACGGACGAGCCACATGCAGGGAAACTTGCACGTGTGGTTCTGGCCGGGCACAGCGAAGCCAAATTCAATCAAGGCATGGGGGCTTACTTTTCCTGAGGCTGATTCATTCTATTCAAATTTAGCTAACCCTGCTGACAACAGAAAATCGTGAAGCCGCTTAAACCAGGCACGAGGAGCCTGTTTGAGACCATACAACGACCGTTGTAAATGGCAAACATGTCCTGGGGTAGATGGGTCTTAATACCCCGGTGGTTGCTTCATGTATACTGTTTCTGCTAAATGATCGTTCAGAAAAGCATTGTGAACGTCCAGTTGCCGGAGAGTCCACTTATTGGCTACGGCTAGAGAAAACAAGAGTCGTACCGTGGTTGGTTTAACAACCAGACTGAACGTATCAAAGAAGTCTTCACCTGCCACCTGATTGAACCCTTTGGCTACCAACCGAGCCTTGTACCGTTCCACTGACACATCTGCAGTGCGCTTCGTCCGGAATACCCACTTGCACCCGATGATATTCATGTGTGGCTCCGGAGGGACAGATGCCAGGTTTGATTATGTAATAACGCGTTGAGCTCTTGATCCATGGCCTCACGCCAGTGGGGGTGCCCCATGGCTTGTGAGTAACAAGTGGGATCAGCAACTGCTGTCAAGGCATGGAAGGGTTCAGACGTGCCTTTGGTCATGTGACGAAGGCGCATAACATGATCACGGCCTTGCAGTTGTGCACGCCGTTTGCGAGGCCTTACCGGAGCGGTCTGTGTGATTGCCAACTGAGGAGGAGCCCTCGCTAGTGGTATAGGTTCACTTTCAGACAGCATAGTGTTAGATGGTACAGTGTGACTACTACTCGGTGCCGGTAGACACAAGGGTGCTACCGCCCAAGGTATCGCCGGAGGTGTAGATACTTGTGTATAGTTTCCTGTTGCAAAAGGAAAATTAGACTCGTCAAAACGCACATAACGATAGATATAGGTTTTCCCGGTCGCCAAGTCAACACATCTATATCCCCTAAAGGAGGGTGGGTAACCTAGGAAGACGCAAGGAATGGAGTGGTACTCAATTTTGTGTCGATTGTATGGACGGAGATGTGGGTAGCACCGACACCCAAAGACACGTAGGAAATTATAGGGCGGTGAAACTTTGAATAAGCGGGTGTAGGGACGTTCATAATTAATTGCTGATGATGGTAAGTAGTTGATTAAGCATGTTGATGTTTCAAAAGCGTAGTCCCAATATTGTTGCGGGACTTTGCCTTCAGCAAGGAGGGTGAGACCCGTTTCAACTACATGCCTGTTACGGCGTTCAACTTTGCCATTTTGTTCATGTGTATAGGCACATGATTGGCGATGATTTATACCTAAAGATTGGAAAATTGTATGGAGTTTACAGTATTCACCCCCTAGATCGCACTGAATAGACTTGATAGAGCGCGAAAACTGCCGCTCTACCAAAACACGAAACGACTCAAACACTTCATATATATCTGATTTCACCCTTAATGGGTAAAACCAGCAGAATCTGGAATAGTTGTCTACAAATAAACAAAAGTAACGATTATCACTACTAGATAGCTCAGGGGAAGGACCCCAAATATCGGTAAAAATTAAATCGAGTACATTTTCACTGAAATGAGAAACACTATCTAGTTTAAATCGAGATGATTTGCCTATGTGACACGATGCACACAGTTCAAGAGTGGTGTTTTTATTGATTGTGACGGGACAGCTTTTCAGGACTTTGTTTAATACTTGACTGTGCGGGTGACCAAGCCTGTTATGCCAAACGGTGGGAGTGGCACGGGAACTGACGAACGCATATTGTGACCGTAACCTTGGAAACTTGTACAACCCGCCAGAAGTAGATCCTTTAAGTAGAACCGCCTTGGTTGTGGAATCCTTCACAAAAAAAGAATCCTTATGAAATTCAAAAAACACTTTGTTGTCATTAGTAAATTTATGAACGGAGAACAAAGGAACCGATAAACGCGGGACATGTAACACATCATTTAAGTGGAGTTTTTTAGATTTGGACGGAATAGACGTGTGACCGACTCTCGAGATAGCCAAACCTGCCCCATTGTCGACACGAAGCA